AAGGCAGACACGGTTTGACAACAAAGTCAAAGAGAGAAGCTTCCTTGGCAATGATGCAAGCCACACATGTTAATAACTTTGTGCCAACAAGGTATAACAGAATGCTTACAGCAGCTAATCCAAATTGTTGTCAATAACATACTCCATTGCAACAAAATTTAAAGTGAAGTTGAGCATTGAGTGCACCAAAATGTAAAATATTGTGTGGACTGAAAAGTGCTTTACATGAGGTATTCATAACAATATATGACTACAGATACTTCTGGGGGTTCAAAGTAAGAAATCTTGCCAACATCCAAATATGACTGTAAGATTTGAAAAAAAAAACCTGATGGATAAGTATGAATTACGTGCAGATATTAATTCAAGTCATTCAAAGAAATGGAGGAGGATGAGAATGCAACTGCAATTGAACTTTTTGAAATTGAATTCCATACGGGACTAGAAAAAATCAATTTTGAGGGAGCATTGGGAAAACTACAATTTCTATCTAAAAAAAATGAATGAAAGTTTTCTCAGAATGAAAAAGCAAAAAAAATTATTTGAACAGGTGAAAATTTTTCTGACGTGTCATAAGGAGAAAAGCCAGCATTCATTTTTCATGAGATCATTTCAACTTCCGTTGTCTTCCCAAAATTTCAGATAAAGATACATTTGAAATTAGTGGTTTAAAAAAAAGGAAAATGACAGGATGCAGAGCATGGGAGGCAAGGGTTTATTTGCACCGTTAGTCTTTCATTTCCTTTCAAAAAGCATCAATTAAAATTTTTATCGCTTTCCTCTTTCCTTGTTCGCAAAAATAATAACAAAAACGTCGCCTCCGAAAATGTCGAGGTCATACAGAAAAAACATATACATACACAAGGTCAACTTGAATTAACACCTCTGAAAATCTGTTCCGACAATCAACTAATGTATTGACATCATTTGTTCGACTGAATTACCTCCAAGGCCGGTTTTTACTTCCCGAAGACACTCGATCAATAGGAAAAACGTGAAAAAATTCGTCAGGGTCATTCGGAATGGATATCCCTAATACGTATATTTTATTGTTTCCATTTTAGAGCCATCAATGGCATTGAATTCCGTATTTCGATAACACAGGAGTTCACGAAAAAAATTTTCACGGCATATCTTTTCACAACAACCTTCATGCTCACCTTTTGTCAAAATCACCCGTCGACAACCCGCAGCAGCGCAGGACCTCAACATTGAACCCATGTTCCCGGGATCCCTAACATTGTCCATGATCACCGTGAACTCCTTGATTTCCGGAGAATTTTCCATGTCTTCCAGAACTTTGTTGACTTCCTTCCTCAAGAAAACACCTTGGAAAGATATGAACTCATGAACAAAATGGCAATACAATAAGATCTGATCCCGTATCTATTGAATTACAGTATATATACAGTATTGAAAAAAATCCTTTTTCTTTGCGGGTTTAAATCGTTTAAAACAGCGTTCCCCAACCTTATTGAACCGGCAAATTTCCATCAAACTTTTCCGATGGGCGAAGTCCCAAAAAATTGTTCTTTGGATCAGCAAAGTTTCATAAAATGTTTGCAGACAAACAAAAGTTTTTCTTGAAAGACTTCATGGCAGGTATTGAAGAGTTTCTGTTTTTTTCTTCAAAAATTCAGTTGCGCCACATCTATAGCTGAATTTCAACAAGAACAAGAAGTGGGCATGAATAAAGTTTCCTCAGACTGAAAAAGAAAAAAAATTTATTTGAACAGGTGAACATTTGTCTGACGTGTCATAGTTCCTTTAGGTGAAAAAATTGAGTACCCAGTGGTGATCCCCGTTTGACCCCGCCGCCAAAAAAAATCCCAAAAAAGGGCCTTTCATTCCCAGGCCCCATTAAGAGGGCTGCAGATTTTGTCTCCTCTCAGTCGCGTTTCACTTCTTCTCCCGCCAAAACAGGATTCTAGGTATACTGGGGACGTGAATTCTACCGTCCACTTCCTTCAACAAGGCAAGGGTTTCCTTAACCAAAATCCATGTGAATTGATGCACATTGGTACAATACACAGGAAATATGAAAACTAAATGGTAAGACGTCAACCACAGTGAGGAAGTCTTTTAGACAATACTATATTTTTGGGTAGGAGAGTAAGAATTTCGGGCTTCATGATGAAATCCCATAGGAGAAAAAATCCCTGAAATATGAAAACTAAATGGTAAGACGTCAACCACAGTGAGGAAGTCTTTTAGACAATACTATATTTTTGGGTAGGAGAGTACAAATTTCGGGCTTCATGATGAAATCCCATAGGATAAAAAATCCCGCGGCCCAAAAATCCCCTGAGGCCCAAAATCTGAAGTCACAAAAATACATGGAAGAAGTATGTTCCTTTTAATGAAATGTATTCAGATTTCATTTTAAACATATTTTTGGAATTATTCTTCTTTAGCCTTAGACCAGAGATGGAAGCGGTGGAATCTAATTGCATCGCAATAAGCCACAATTCAGCTATGTTTTCATCCTCCTGAAGGTTGATCTTCACTCCAGGTTTGTGGAAAAGTTTTGAGGTGAGATTACATGGATTTGAATTATTTCTTTAGGAGACAGAGCACTCATTTCCCTCCATCATTGTCATTGCTGCTTTGGTTTCAATGACAAATTTTCAGCATTCATTCTGCTATCCTTTTACAGTAATCCTTCATGGTGAGAAGTTTTCAATTTATCTTTTGTAAGGTACTGTGAATCCTATACAGGACCAAGGTAAAAGGGAAGATGGGGATAGTAGATGACACAATCTTCCTAGATTTATTAAGAAATACGTATATAGTAGAATCCCAGTTGAAAAAAGGAATCAGTCTTCATCCCTTCTCAGTGCTGCTGTGATATTTCTTAGGAATTCAAATGGCTTCACGAGAAAAACCCTATGATAAAATTGATAGAGAAATTTTGATAGAAGAGAAAATTGATCAGAAAATCTTGTCCAGTGCAAACATCCCAATGGTACAATACCAGTCCTTTTTTGCTGTAACCTAATTTAACTTTGTAACTCAATTGTAAACTTCATTGCCTGTTGTGCGTAGCAAAGTGGGTTTTCCTGATACAATAATCAATGTTTTTGGGATTTTTGTTCCTGCTGGATTTTTGTACCTGGCAAAGTTTTCAGGCCTCTGTGAGTTTTGGCATTATGAAGCTGAAAATGAAGTATAACTATTAAATCAAATACATTTATTCCAAAATGAGCATGAGTTTGACAAGACACTTTGTTACATTGGAATTTTTGCACTGCACAAGATTTCTTATCAATTGTTGCTTCTACTGAAATTTCTCTATCAATGTTATCATAGGGTTTTTCTCATGAAGCCATTCAAATTCTTAAGAAATATCCCAGCAGCACTGAGAAGGGATGAAGACTGATTCATTTTTCCACTGGTTTTCTACTGTATATTTCTTGATAAATCTAGGAAGCTTTTGTCATCTACTAATCCCCGCTTCCCTTTTACCTTGGTCCTGTATAGGATTCACAGTACCTCACAAAAGAGAAATTGAAAACTTCTCAACATGAAAAATTGCTGTAGAAGGATAGCTGAATGAATGCTGAAAATCTGTCATTGAAACCAAAGCAGCTGTGATAGTAATGGAGGGAAATGAGTGCTCCGTTTCCTGAATAACCCATTCAACCCCCTGGACCCCAATCCATGGTTAGAATTGCTACCCAAGAAATAATTCAAACCCATGTAATCTCACCTTGAAAATTTTCCACAAACCTTGAGTGAAAATCAGCCTTACAGAAGATGAAAACATTGCTGAATTGTGGCTTATTTTGATGAAATTAGATTCCACCGCTTCCATCTCTGGTCTAAGGCAGAAGAAGAATAATTTGAAAAATATGTTTAAAATGAAAATTGAATACATTTCTTTAAAAGGAACATACAGTACTTTAGACCAAGTCTTTTTGTGACTTCTTTGCATGTGTAGTCTATAGGAGATTTTCATACCAACGGAACATTTTTGGACCCCGCGAGATTTTTTGGCATACCAGATTTTCAGCCTCACGAGATTTTTGGGCCGCGGGATTTTTTCTCCTGTGGGATTTCATCATGGAGCCCAAAATTCTTACTCTCCTACCCAAAAATCTAGTATTGTCTAAAAGACTTCCTCACTCTGGTTTGAAGTATGGGGTTATTATGATGCCTTACCATTTAGTTTTCATCCCAGTACACGTAAAATCCTGTTTTGGCAGGAGAAGAAGTGAAAGGGGGTTGAGACGAGAAAAAATCTGCAGCCCTCTTAATGGTGCCTGGGAATGAAAGGCCCTATTTTTTGGCGGCGGGGTCAAACGGGGATCACCACTGGAAGCTCAAGTTTGTCAACACAATGCCACTGGGCATACCCGCTTTAATCAGGAGAAAAGCCAACATTTATTTTTCATGAGATCATTTCAACTGCCAGTGTCTTCCCAAAATTTCAGATAAAGATATTGTAACTTCCTTTATTGCTATTTCTTAAGAATTTTATTCTGCCAAAGAAAATTTCTGCGGATTGGCGCTGGTTTGTGGGCTGGTAACACTATTTGAAACAATTTAAAACTGGAATACAAATAAGGAAATGTTGCCCATGTTTAAATTTTGCAGGTTTAAATGTCTTAATGAATTTAAAACTAGAATCCAAATTGTGAAATGTTGTCCACGTTCCTCTGGGCCCATAACCTAGAGGTCCGTGGATTGAAACCACGCTCTGCTACCAATTTTGTAGGGCAATGAGCCCACAAAGAATTTGAAAGGAATAAAAAGCGCAATCTGCCAGGGACACGGCAGGAAGATCCACGATGGAATCTTCAGAGAAGAATACTTAGTATTTTGCAGAGTTTGTATGGTTTCATTTGAGAAGAAAGATAAATTGGAACAAGCCGTACACCTTGCAAGTACTGTTTAGGATAATTAGGTGTGATTGGTGTTTAATTACAAGAGATTTTTGGATTATCAGTAATGATCAGTAGACTTCTAGAAGATGAATACAAAAATAAGTATAACTGAGCAATTGGCTGGTGCGCAAACCGACCAGGGATTCTCTCCCAAATAGCGCAAGCCCTTTGTTAGCAGATCACAAAATATACAGAGCACAAAAATATGCACAACAGGTTTTAGCAGTAGAATATGAACAACAGATTTTGCGGACTTGGTAGATTTCTCAGTAAATACGAATTTCAAGAACATGACGTAACGCTTCACATGCAAAATTTGGACTGTGTCGTCAGCCAAAACATCAGGGGTTTTAATACAAAACAGAAACGGGGAGGGGTTAGGTAATATCTTCAGGGGATCCCAGGAGTTGGGCAGTGAAAAACACCAGGTGCTGGTGTTTTTCAATTTGAGCATTTTGGTGACGAGTTTTTCAAAGAACTGGGTGTTTTTATAATTTAGCAGATTTTACAATGTTTAAACATGTTTTTCCCGGCGTCCAGGTGTTTTTGCAGGCTTGGTAAAAGTATTCTTCAAAAACAAGCTTGTAAAGGTAATTAGGTTTTACTGGGTACTTTAGTAGTTCTTGACAGCTTAGGAAAGTCTAGGTTTTTTGAAGACAAATTGTTTTTAACGGAAAGAGGATACGATGTTTGGAGCGCGTCGCCAGCAGCTGGTCGAGTTTTGTAAATTTTTAGAGAGGGGTTAAATGACCCTGGTTTTTCAAGGAAGGGAGGATTCAATGTCCCCCTGCTGATCAGGAGAATGCTGACTTTGGCGATTGTTGTCCCGGTTCTGGGGGTCCTTCTCCTTGAGTCAGGAAGTTGAGGGAGAGGGGTTAATTTTCTCGGGTGGCGGGGGTTAAGATATTGTTGGCCCTGTCAGCACACCGATTTCTCCAAGTTAATTTATCCCGCCTGTTTCCCTGCCAAGGGGATTAATTTACAGTCCCAGGCACGTCCCGAGATGCGCCAATTTTTGAGAACTTGATCTATTTGTCCCTTCTCAGGGAATTTGACTCTGCCGCCAGAGTTATACAAAAAATTCCGCACAGAGTTTAAATAAGAAATTATGTAGAAACAGACAAGACACAAGATTCAAGATCTTAAATTCGTAGGAGAGCACACAAATGAAGGTTTTTGCACACAACTGAGCACTACAAAGCCAGGAACATTATGATATTTTGTTAATTGCAAAAAAGGAAAAAATTGTTCTGTTGCGCAATTCTTGGGAGCGGGAGCTTCCAAGGAATTCCCCACTGCTGCATTCCATTCATTCGAGTTTTCAATTCTTTTTTAACGCGAGTATTATTTACATTTTAATGACGTGCCCTCTGTGCCCCACAAATACGACAAACGTTCTTGAAGAATATCTTCAGATTTAGGCATAATTTCCTTGTTTAAATTACAGAAAGTCCTCTGCAAAATGGGAAAACTGTATAAATCAAAGAATTCTGACGTGGAAAAAATTAGAAAATGTAACATTCTGCACTATTTTCAACAAATTCGCATCAATATTTAGCAAATTAGCCTTTTTGAGTAAAAAAAACAAGTTGACGAGATCAAACAAAGGAAATGTTTTCTAAAAGGAAACTCGTCATCAAAAATTCACGGAACCCTAGGAGCAATTGTTTCGTGCCATCTTTCCAAATACTGTATAGTATTCAATCCATAAACATCAATGCGTCGGGGGAATAAATCCGGTTAAACACTAACCGAGAATCCCAGGGGATGACGCTACATCAGACCAAGTCTGCATCGTTTTGTACGGCACTTTATAGATTTTACCCTCCATGATTTCTTCAATGACTGGTGGACAATGAGTGAAACACGATTTCAGGTCAGATTCCCGAGAAAAGAAAACTGCTTGCGGCTCCAGACCGACTTCGATCGCATCTCTCAGCAAACGTGATCCTTCCACCATGAAAACATCGTATTTGTCCTTCATTCCTTGCTTCAGACGCCGTTTTTTGGACGCTTTCGAGTTCATCATCATTTGCCTGGAAAAAAGGAGGGTTTAAAAAGCGTTCACACCCGAAATTTTTGCAGACATTTGATGAGAGGTGCTAAAAAAAATTTCATGATGCTCTCAAGTTTACTGCATAGCGAAAGTAAATCAAAAACTAAGAATAACTCAGTCAGCTTTCATCGAATAAAAAGTCTCTAACTTCAAAATTTATTTCCAGACGTGAAAATTTTAAACCGTCCTCTCGAATTATCCACACATTTAAATGACTAAATTCAAAAAGTTGCCACGAACCATTATGCAACAATTTAACAATACGTGAAACAATGAAGGGATTAAAATCTGGTGATGGTTTTCTTTTCAATTTCTTACATGCACGTGGATCTCACTTCATCATAGATTTTCGGGTTTTTCTCGCTCTTTGAATCAACGCTTTTTCAATTTTAAAAAAGTCCCAAATTCCAGAAACACTCATTTTAACTTGGAAGAATGTTTGCGGAGAAATGAAAAATGCAAGGAAAATCGCAATTGAAAAATGAAATAAAATTATACTTGACAATATAATACAATGAAACCACAATTTAAAAAATCGCAATCAAATAAAATAAAATCACAATTAAAAATAATAGAATAATATCACAATTGAAATGTTTTTTTTCTTCACCGGAATAACGAGTCATTCAACTCCAACTTCTTGTATTTCAAGTTCCTCNAAAAAAATTGATTCGTGCGACGGAAAAATAGCATGAAACACTCTTGCCAAGGACGCAATGCAAAAAAAATAAAAATCAATCCTTGTACTCCACAATTTGATCGCTTCTCAAAATGTCGAGAAGCGCAGCGAATGGCTTGAATATTCGCAAAGAAACGTGGTTCCCCAGCAAAATCAACTTGTTCTTCGCTCTGCTGATGGCGACGTTCAATCTTCTCTCGTCGTTCAAAATATCCCTCTGTTTTTATACGGATAAAAAGGCATTTATTACGACAAGAAAAATTGAAAAAAACACTTGGGAAATACAATTTGCGCAGTGATAAAAGTTGTTGGCATAATGAGTTTTCCTCCTGAATGTTTGAATAACTAACACCAAGTGTTAAAAACTTTACTGCACAAGGAATATCATTCAGTTCAAAAATCGCAATAATTTAGCTTATGCACATTAACTAGTAAAATGAAAGCAGAAGCAACTTGTAGTTCAAAAAATTGAATCAACTCATACAAGAACAAGTAAGAAACACTTTTCGCATTGATCATGAAATTTCAACAAACGGTAATCGTAACTCGTACATGGAACAAGAAGACGGGCAGTAAAAATCCAAGACCTCCAAAAATTCAGCCACGAATTTTGTTTACGAAATTTCCAAAAATCTGTCACATTATCTTGCTAAAAAATTGCTTTCTTTCATCTAAAACCGCCCATTTTGAAAGGAGTCGACAACATGCAAGTTGAACTTTCCAAAGAATGAACATTTCTTCTGCTATGGGTTCCAAAAAAATGCCATCAGCTTCTTTAAAAAATATAATAAAAAATGTGGAACGAAAAAAGATACTGAAGCACATTTTACATTTTAAAGTCACTTCAAAGCAACTTAGGCTTCTTATAGAGCCTTGACTCCACATTTTTCCAGGCAAGACATACAAAAGCCTTTCAAAATTATGTACAGTACCTCAAAATGTAAAAATTCGCAGCCTTTTTCCGCTGAATTTACAATTGATCAGGTCATACTCTGGTTCCAACTCCATCAGTATTGTGCTATAAATTAACTATTCGTTGCATCAATAATGATTTCCATGTGAGTATGCAGGTAGAGTACCACACTTTGATTCCCATTACAGCCAAAAATCCAGATAGGAATGCCTTATTTTCTACTCGTGATTCAATTTTTCAACAGTAAGAAATTTTAATTTAAAACAGTTTCACCGCTACACGTTTTTCCAACAAACGAGTTTAAATTCACAAAAAATTGAGAGCGAATGAAGAAAATAAGTAATGTACTAAGAATTGAACAAGATATTAATCCCTGATCAATAGTGAAAAGAGGATGCCAATGAAGAAAAAAAATTAAAAACTTTCATCCAGACATCCAAATTTGCCAAATAGCTGATATACATTTTTTTCTTCAGATAAATTTGTTGGGCATGCACGCCATGTGAAGTAATGTACTCTAAACAATTCTCAGAAGTATGAAATAATCCCCCTCCTCAAAATTGCAGACCCCAGCACACTCAACCATATCTTTCCTACTGATTTGTGAAGTAAAACCTTTTGAAGGTTAAATATGATTGGTAGTATATAAGCTGCTCTTTTTCATATCATGAAAGGAAGAATCAATTTATCAGTTCAGTGTGTTACTCAAGTTATTCTCACAAGTTGAGTTTGTTGAGTTGATTTATTCAGTTATATTTTGCAAAATACACTTCTCCCTTTCAACTAGGAATTCCTAAACAGAATTCCTGGTCCTGTCCTGGACTGATCAACGTGTTTTATTATCTTTTAATCAGCACTCCACATCAAGTTATATTGAAGACATTTGTCTTCAATAAACTTGATTTACAAGTGACGTTCAACAACACATATAGTCAACAAAAATTGTTTCCTGCGTCTCTTCTTCTCCAATCACAAAATGTCTCGGCACTCAAAGAATTAAATTATCAATTGTCTTTTTTAAAATTTGGAGTCAATGACTGACCGTGGAAACATCGGCAGACGTGCGAACGCAGGAATAAATAACGACGCTCTTGTCTCTGCCCTGGTACTGGTCCACAGTGTTGACCTCGACCCGGGTCAAATCCGACTCCCTCAGGGCCTGTTTCAGCAGATTCACCTGGGCTCTGAATGGCGTGATGACCCCGATCTCGTCTTCGTCAAACCCAGCCTAGAAAACCATTTTTCGTTTGAGAAGATGAAATAAAATAAATTCAACGTAGTAAAAAAATAAATAAATAATAATAATACCTCAGCAAGGGTTGACACGATTTTCAGCATCAAATTCGCTTCTCCCAAGTTCACTATTCTCCCGTGCACATCTTTGCTTTCCGAGCAACTTGACAACGCTTGACTAGTTGTCAGAAATTTGACAGCATTCAATAATTCCACGTTCAGAACTTTTTGCAACCATTCAGGCTCCTCCTTCAACGTGTCCTGTGGAGTCACAAGAATATCTTTAGCAT